TAGTGAACTGTGAATCTTAGTGCTGCAAATTAAAGCAAATTGCAGCTCCATCAGGTAGATATCTCATATAGAAATGATTTTATGTCTATTTAAATAGCAATGAAGCCATTCTCTTTTTGTGTCATGATGCATTTCACAGAAAATGAGTACGTGTCTTACATGCTGTCATACTCTTTCTGATGTTTCCACTCCGCTAAGTGTTGCAATAGTAGAAAATGAAACCCCTTCTTAGGGGAATGTGAGGTATTTCGTGATAGTACATCAATCTATCAGTCACTTTTCAAATTCAGAGAAGCTACTCAAATAAAATTAGTAATAATGTTTAAATTATCGTTAATAATACAGAGCTAGGCTATTCTAGTCTGTCTGACCCAGATGATGAATTCAGATGCATTTAAGAATGAACTTTGCCTTGTCATGTATCATGCTGTAGAGAACAGTAGCTAGAAGATGTCACATGAAAATGAAGGTGACAAAATAAGTCTTCTAAAAACTAAGTTTTCCTAAGGCTACTTAATATTCTGAGAGTCACCCAGCCTTAGCAGGGTCTGAGCAGTATAAAGACTGCTGCAGACCCAGATATTTTGCTCAGTAAGGGCTGAAGAGATGCAGAACTTTTTTTATTCTTTTTGAATGTCAAAAAAACCCCTTTTTTTCTGTCTTGCTTTTGTCTGGCTTTGGCTTCTTTGGCAGTTTCTTTCGCTGAGAGAACTAAAAATGTGTGCCTAAAGTTAAGCTCCCCTGAAGTTAGTTTTGTAACATTTGAACTTCTAGATCACTTTGGGCAGGTTTTCCAAAGTATTTACATTGTGAAAACTGCAGATGGAAGCATAGTGCGATTTTCCAAAAGCACTTAAACAGGTAAGGCACTTAGCTCCCATTTAAATTAATTAGCTGGATCAAGTAAGTTCCCTTTGGCACTTTTGAAAGTTCCACTAACTGTTTATGTCTACATAAAAAAAATATGATTTTCAAAAGAGGCTGAGCATCCAGCAACTCCCTTTAAAGTTTATGACTGTTACAGGTTTTCAGCAAATCTGAAAATTATACCATGTCCCTCTCTCTATGTTCCCCAATGATCCTCCTTCACTTTCATGTTTTTTAACCATGTCTAGTATCATTTATTGTCTAAATTTAATCTCAGAGAAGAAGCAGGATCAATAGTACTATAACCTAAGGACAGAAAAATAGTGACAGGGTGAATCTTTTACGTCGGTTTGAGAAGCTGTATCCTTTCGTATTTGCATTCAGTGAATGTAAAAACTGATAGAGCTTTAAGACCATTGGAATTATGTCTTGTACTGGATTTCCTTATTACATTCATATTATGCAAAATAATAGCTCAAAAATATGTTACAGGTAAAGAGTGCTGCAGGTTATGGATAGCTGGGAATGAACCAAGTGACCAGGAGTAGCATGACTTTTCAGTCTTTAACTGCTGTATATACTGAAACCCTTAGCAGACCTGACAGAAAGTAATAAAAGCAAGCAATGCTCACTCTGAGATAGTTTCCCCTGCCCTTTACTCTGCCTCTATTACAGTAGTGTCTGAGTAGCAGTCTGAGCATGTACACACATTAGTATTTTGGTTTCAAACAAGAGACTACTTTTGAAATGAATTTGCTAATTATTCCCACTTAGCAAACTTGCTTGTTGTGGAGTGGGCCTTGGACTATGTTAACAGGATTGCTTTCGGCTGAAATGAAAACAGAAGATGCTTTCCAGAAGGACATCTAATCTTCGTTAGTCATCACCGGGTGTTCAGTCCACTGAACTATGTCAAAGTTAGTTCAGTATATCCTTCCTTCCTATACTAATTTCAAAGAGTGACCAAATTGAACATCAAGTTCTCAGAGCCAACACCTTTGCTCCACGGATCGGCTCTTACTATGTCATGTTTCTTGTTAATGTAACTATGAACTGAGTTGTCAGAATGGTTAGGTTCATGGGAGAATCCCATCTTTGCATGCACTTGCAGAGTTAAAATTCTACAATGCCAGAATTTCAGATCTGTAAGTATCGCCAAGGGGATCTCAAATGTCCAACACTGGCCAATGTTTGTTGGGAATGTATCTTCTCCTTCTGGTTAGATAGAAAATGAAATAAAAAACTCATGAGTAAGAACTCATAACATTTTTGTTGAGCTTTTTCAGAAATGTAGGTCAACCTAAATGCAACTGTAGGTTTTGCCTAGAAAAAGTAATCCAGACAAGACAGATTGTAAGACATAACTTGTACACCTTGTAAAATGCACCTACACCAGCCATTCATCGTGATTATTCTCTACATTGATTTAGAATTTTTTTATGCTATAAGTGTCTGTTCTTGTTTGAATCATTCCATCGCTAACAGCTAATAGTGCTTATACTCATATTTAATTTTTTAAAAAAGGAAAGACTCAAGTTTATTTAGCCAGTGAGTTTTCCAACATTCATAACCCTGTATTGCCAAGCTGGAAATGATATCTTGTGTAGTTTATGCGTCAGATGTACTAGAATGAAAAACATAATATGAATATTTACCAGTGACCTTCAAAAACAGGAATTTATTATCCGTTGTTGCCACTGGGATGTGTAACCTGACTGTTGCCAGCCAGGAAGAGTTTTTAAGTGTGTCTTTAGTCAATTAAAGCACCATCAAGACAAAAGTATGTGAAATAAAATGCAACTGTACAATAAAAATATATTTCACTTTTATTAAGGTAGAAACTTTGAAAGACACAAAGGAATTGTGTGTACTTATCTCAGCTATGGATTCACAATACAGTAAATGTGGCTTTATGTTGCTTAATGCTAGATAAGAACCACTGTAACCTCATGGTATTAAATGCTGATCTGGTACAAACTCACTTTGCTAGTTCAAATGTGTTGAAAAAAATTGGACACCTTAGCTTTATCCTGTCAGGCTTTCTGCCAGATCAGATATTGCTGTCCCTGCCATTCTAAGTATATGCTGGATCAGGCGTTATGTACTCTCCTGGTGATTCTGTATTGTGTGCTATAATCTGGCAAAGATGCAGTACGGTTCTGTTTTCAGTCATCCCAAACTCATCCACAGATCTGGATTAAAGACCATGGCCTCCTGTTGCCCCCATTATCATAGTATCTGCCTAAATCACAAGCTTTGATGTATTTATTCTCCTAACAACACTGTGAAGGAGAATATGTCTTTGCTATCACACTGATTTCCTCCTAACATGTTTTTTCTCCTGTCTAGTAGATGAAATAGTAGGTGTTATGCAGGTTTTGAGAATTTCAGTGATTAGAACAAGGAGATTGTAACAGAGGTGAATATTTTCTTAGAGTGTCAAGTGCTCTGCTAGCGCTCTATCAAAGCGGTTTCATGCAACTGGATAATTCTTCTGCTTTTTAGGAAGCTAATTGCTTAAATGATTTCCTTTTGGATAGTCACCAGATGCTGCTTTTTGTATAATTAATGTGGTCCTTGACATAAAATATGGTTAACTTCTGTAGCTTCAGGACCAATTCAAACCACACTGAAGCCCTTGAGTGATGGGGGATTCACAGACCAGGTTGTATGAGCAAGTTTCTTGTCTCCCCATTACTTTGTGGTCCCTTATTCGCTCCGCTGAGTGGCGAATAACAGCAAAGTCCTACAGTGTGCCGAGGAGTGGACAGAGAAGACAAAGAGCCTGGCTCGTTGTTGCTGCTTTATTCACTCTGCATGGTGCTGTAACCGGTGCACCAGCTCTCCGAGGAAGGCAAATGAGGCTGGCAATGTTACTTTGTGATTTTCTCTCAAATCTGTTGAAAAAATGCTGGAAAAATAAATTGTAAAGACCAAGATTATCCCTCTTGTTAAGCTGTCCTCATTCTGTCCTCCTCCAGAAGGAGCTGAAAACATTCCTGACATGTGAAATTTTGTTACTGCTGTTTCATTTATAAATAAAGCCTACAAATTAAACAAAAGTGCTAAGCACTTAACAAGGCAAGAACAAGGCAAGTCCTGTGTCCTTGAGTGCTTACCACCTAACAAAGGAATGAAAGGTGGAGCATGGGAGGAACACAGAATCATTCTGGTGCCTACAAGTAGCTCTTTGCCTCCCACACTGCTCTGGTTCACTCAGTGCGACCTCTTGCAGAACACAGTTTTACTAAGGGTGGGCTAAAGAGGGCTGAGACCAAACTGAATGGTAATTTTAAGCAGAAGGTGCTTTAAATTCATTAATTTCCTATTCAGATTTTACTGGGGAGCACATACAGGAAGAGTGGGCAAATGGATGAAAAAAGTGTATTTTATTAATGCACTGCTGTGGAGAAATCTGGGATTTCTGAAACAAGATTGCATTGTGTGCATTTGTTGTGTACCACAAAAAGATCCTTGGACTTTTTAAATCAGGAGGACTAAAGTAGTAGCCACGACATCTTTTTCTATTATTATTCAGAAAGTAGCATACACCCATCTTTATCTTCTCGAAATGTAAACAAAGCACTCATGTATTTCAAGACTTAGAAAGTGGAAAAGTATAAAATATCCGCATCTGTGGAAGAGGTGGCATCACGGATCTTTTTTCTGGCACTCTTTGTTCTACCACAGCTGATGCAAAGAGATTTTAATTTGTATCTTTACTGTACCAGAAACTTATTTGAAACTCACATAGCCTTATTTTGTAATGAAATGTTTGAGAACTACTGCTATTTGTATTTGCATGTGATTAACTTTTAAAGCACTGTATACAGGGCTTTTCGCTTTTAAACTCGCCTGGAGTCAATAAATATCTTTACAGACGTCAATTTGGTCAGCAGTAAAGAGGTAAATAGAAACTAATGACACTAATCAAGCCTGTGGCATAAATGATTTATTGGACACAATCATTTAACACTTTCATAAAGTCAATACAAGGGAAAGAAACAGGTTCTTACTAAGGCAAACTGTATTTGCACTGTCAGTATGCAGTGATTTATGACAAACCTGTGGCCAGGATTAGGATATTATAAATGGGGGAAAATAGAAGGCTCATTAGTTTTTTATACCCACAGGTAGAAGACATGCAGTGGGCTAATAGAGAACACACTCATCCAGCATCTGTCTGCAGCCTGCCCTGCAAAGCCGGGGAAAGAAAGAAAACCGTGAAGGGAGTGCCCTGCTGCTGGCACTGCGAACGCTGTGAGGGATACCATTACCAGGTGGATGAATTCAACTGTGAACTGTGCCCCATTAATAAGAGACCAAACGCCAACCGTACGGATTGCCAGCTTATTCCTATAATCAAACTGGAGTGGCATTCTCCCTGGGCCATCGTGCCCGTCTTCATAGCTATTCTCGGTATAATTGCCACCACCTTTGTGATTGTGACATTTGTCCAGTACAACGACACACCGATTGTCAGGGCCTCTGGACGGGAGCTCAGTTACGTGCTCTTGACTGGGATTTTTCTCTGTTACTCCATTACTTTTTTAATGATTGCAACTCCTGATACAGTGGTCTGCTCCTTTCGAAGGATCTTTTTAGGACTTGGCATGTGTTTCAGCTATGCTGCCTTGCTTACCAAAACAAACAGGATTCACAGAATATTTGAACAAGGTAAAAAATCTGTCACAGCTCCCAAATTTATTAGTCCAGCTTCCCAGCTGGTGATCACTTTCAGTCTAATATCCATGCAGCTCCTTGGAGTCTTCATCTGGTTTGCCATCGATCCACCACATACCATTGTAGACTATGGAGAGCAGAGGACACTTGAACCAGAAAATGCCAGGGGAGTTCTCAAATGTGACATTTCAGATCTTTCTCTCATTTGTTCCCTTGGATACAGTATTCTCTTGATGGTCACATGCACTGTTTATGCTATTAAAACAAGAGGGGTTCCAGAGACCTTCAACGAAGCAAAACCCATTGGATTTACCATGTACACAACCTGCATAATTTGGTTAGCTTTTATTCCAATCTTTTTTGGTACGGCCCAATCAGCAGAGAAGGTAAGCGATGATAAGTTTATGAATCAAATACTATAATTTTTCTGTTTTCATCTCACAATACTTTTAGCACTACAATATTTTCACTCTTACAAATGAGTAATTCTTGCAAGTAAACTCTCAGGATTCATACCTAATAAAATATGCGATTCCAAAGGTGGGTTTCCTGTATTTTAACACCAGAAACTGAATGTGATTGTGGTTTGGCTGGCGTAATAATCTTGACATTTTCTCAATATATCCTTAAATGACTGTTTCTTCTAACATTTATTATTACCCTTCAGTGATGCTCCAGGCTGTTACATGAAGGACTATAAATCTTTGTTATCATCCACAGATCTGATAGAAATGGTTGCATTTCAAAAGTGTAAGAAGATCAACTTGCATTCGTCAAAAATAATGAAGAAGAATGCCTGGGCAGAATGAAAAGAATTACTTTTCTGTCTGGTTAAAACATATAACTTTAAAAAAAAGAGAACATGAGGAGTAAAGGAAGTGTATGTAACAGCATACAAAGCACAATTCACTAAGTATTATCTCAGAGCAAAAATAAAACATTTTCCTGATGTTTTAATGAGAAATTAAATGTTGCATACTTGGATATCTGTTAATTCTTCTTCAGCTGGCATGGATCTTTCCTGATATCAGTCATGGTGAGCAGTACAGAACACATCAGACACGTAACTTTCCTTCTCTCAGTTCTAATGGGAAGGCAGAAGTAGATGTCGACTGTGTGAGCTTTTATCCAGCTGATAGTGGTGAAAATGACAAGTTAGGTAGGAAAGAGCAATAATACCAGCATCAATCTTCAAAACAGCAAACCTTCACAATTCAGAAAATCTTAAAGAGAAGAAATTAAAGTCATCAGTGTTTTACATAAAGTCTTTCTCCTTTTCTTCTAGCAGATGATTTTATAATGTTTTAAAATATACATTTTTAATTAATTAATTTTATTGGAGAAGTCAACATGTGTCCACTTACAATCGTGCAAAAGTTTGAAATGTTTCTGATTTAGAGGGTACTCTTTCCTGCAGAATTGAAGAATAGGTCGGTATAGCTTGATAAAATACCTGCTAATTCAAGCAGGGGAATTGTATAATCAGGCTTGATTTCCATGGCCTTTTGGATTAAGTCAGAGGAAGTGAGTAGAAAGGTAATGGCATAACATATATACAATAAGTAAAGATTAAAAAATCCTGTCTGATATAGAAAAACATGTTTAGGTGAATTGTATTTAAAGTCTGAATTTTTGGTACGTGTAGACATGAGTCAAAAAAAATACTTTGATATGTAAATCTGTGATGCTTTCCATTTTAACAGCTTGGGCCAGTCAGTTTTATGACAACTACCTATAACAAAAGAAATGTATTTCTGAGTATTAAAACACAGAAAATATTGCTTGGCTGGCAACTATACAGAGAGTTTTCATTTACACCATTGGTACACTTTAGCTTGTAGTAAAGGATGATTTGGTTTTGATCTCTAAAGACGAGATTAATGAACAACTCTTTTGCATTTCTGTTATGAAACCCAAGACTGAACACACAAGTTATACTAAATCACACAGCCTCTAACACTAAATTTCACTTGTTAGCTGCCTTTTTTTCTAAATGATTTGTTATTCTTCAGATAACAACTTTCAGGAGGAAAAAAAATAAATTAATATGATAACCCAGTAGCTCTGTAATTCAAATAATTCTTTTCACAGTGCTTCTATCTTTTGCTGCAAATAAAAACATGTTTCCATACAGAATCTTATGGACATCATCGTAATAGGTCGTGCATTCCTACAATTATATTGCTTGTCTGAATAGGACAAAAATGTCATATCTTAGTGCACACATGTATACATTGTCTGAATAAACTCAAAGTTACTTATAGGTTTCTCAGTTAATGCACAACATCAAAAGGAGCATTTTAGAAACAAACTCATATATTATAGGATATTCAGTATTGTGATCTTTTTTAAGGATGAAAAAAATGAAAAGGAAAATAATTGTTAGGTGTTAGGTGTTTACTCACTTTGCAGTTGATTTTAGAATCCTGAAATTATTTTTTTTTGTGGCTTGACTTCCTTCAGAGTGAACAGAGCAATAAGCTTGGGAACTTAAAGTAGTCTTAAAATCCAATGGTTCCTTTTTTGAAATGTTGACAGTAATAAAATTTAACATAGTGTTCATAACAAGCCAAGTGTACTTCCAACTAGAAATTCATTGAAACGCTAGCTTTAGACACACTTCTCATTGAATAAAGAGCAGTTAAAACTTCTGCAAAATGTTTTGAGGATCTTCTGTTTTCCTAAACATTAGTAGTGCTTACAGTCGCAGAAGTCATGCATTTTTTGAAAGAGAGGTTATATTTATGTAATTAACCATTCCATGAACACGGATTAAGCAGAAAGCATATTGAGAACCTTTTATATTTATTTTACTGTCAAAATATTTCCACTGACAAACAAAAAAACAGGACCACTAATGCTAAAATCAAGTGGCTAGATCCAAAATGCACAGCTCATCATGGATAGGTTACATTTACATTTAGTGACCTTGGGATCAATTTGCAGAAGTGTAAATTTGCTAAGAGATTCTGGGTAGAAACTAGAGGAGTATAAACCTGTATAGTTGGTACAGGTCCATAAAATGAGTCTTGGTGTCCGTCAAGCTTAAAACATGCATGATGAAGGCCATGTAAATAAGCATAAGCACATTTCTGCAGACAGACTGTGAATATTGCTCATATGTTTTTGCTGTGAAGCACACGATAGGAAACTCATCTCTCCACTGTGCATACGAGGAAAGTTGGGTCTCTTGCTGGTGGATACAGCTGAGTTAAATGCCTGAATCTGCATGGTGTGACACATCCATAAGAGAAAACAAGGTAAAAGTTAAGGTAGCTTGACAAGAGTCAGGGAAGATGTTGATATATAGTCTTGACATTTGTAGCATTTTTAATAGCCCTTTATAACAGATGCTGTTTCTACTCATATATATTATCTTAGTTCAAGTATAAGTTTAAAACTAATACAAAATTGAGAAAACTACTGTATAATATTCAAGAAATTAAAAATAATATATGTCCATGGCCAATAAAAAAAAAAAAAAGATTAAAATGCTAATCTGAAATAACCTTGCATTACCGAAGCTTGGTGGCTTTTATGGAACTCCATGTTTATTTTTTGTCCTTAATCTCAAGCAGTAGAATAAAAAAAAAAACATGCTAAGAAACACACCATTTTTAGACTGTCATTTTCTACAGATGTTCTTCAGTGAACAATAAGAGCATTAATTTTAAGTCCTGTGTGATTTTTTTGTCTAATTCATGGTTTTGTCCATTTGCGATCAAGCTTGTTTTGACAGCTGCTGCTTTACGAAAGGAATCCACTACAAAAAATTTAATTATTCCAGTGCGTCACTGAACTGAATGAAAAATGTAACTCAAAGACATAACGTACCAATTTTCTGACACTTGAGTAAATGTCACTGAGGTGTTTTAGAGCAAAAGGAATGAAATTCTGTAAGAAAGCGTTTTATGAATATAGCCTTCATCTATGTCATGCACATGTACATGGCAAAACACTGGAAGTACTGGGATCATCTGGAATAGAGATATCTAAAATGTCACGATGACTGGAATGCCACAGAAAAAAAGAATGAAATTAGCTTAGTGGTGAAAGCAGATATTTGATGAACCTCTGAGTAAAATGAAGTTGCCATGGCAGACAGCAGAAAAACCAGCTGAGGTTAGATGGCTGTCTAAAGTACATCCCTATTTGACAAATTGAACTTTTAAAATTTCCTTCCTTTTGCCAGTTTTGACAAGTGGGTGAATCATATTCATTCACAGATAATAAAGACATCATTTAATATATAACCTGGAAATACTTGGTTTTGAATGAGAAGAGGAATACTTGTTTCCCATACTGTGACAGAGTGGAGGTTACACTTTCTGCTAAGGAAAGAACACCATAGAAAGCGCTGAAGGATTTCTTTCTTCTCCTCTCATCAGAAGCAATTGCAAGGTGTAATCTAACAAGGCAGATAAATTTTAACATATTTTCCAATCATTCTGACAAGTCTGATCTCTCGTCATAACTGCAGTAAAGTCAAAACAAGTTGTAAAGTGTGATAGAAATCTTCCCATAAATTATCCTTATGATTTTAGTATTCCAGCTGTTTTCATCCTGGATTTGCTGATCATGTGGATCTTATGCTTATATCCAGCTGTTAGTAACAGTAAAAGAAGCAAGAAACAGTTCCAAGAGTATCTCAGTATTAATTTGACTGGTAAGATACTGTTGAAGTTGTCAAGAGGAAGTTACTCAGTTCTCAGTGGGAGGAAGAGGTAGTTCCATTAATCTAGTAATATATGTTCTTTAGCTTAAAATAAAACCAAAAAACTGCTAGTGACAATTCAGGTAGAGACCTCTTACTAGCCCCACATTTCTACAAAATTTAGACTAGTCATCTTTTTTTGTGTGCTTATGTTATGAATTCTTGCATAAATGTATTCCTGTGACTATAAGGAAACAATGCATCTTAATAGTGCAGGCTGTGTTAATGAAGCAGGCTAACCTGAGTAATTTCTTCATCTCAGAGCATTCTCTTCTAATTCTGATCATATGCAAAGACTTAGCTCTGCAGGTAGTCCGTGCAGTACATATCACAGGAAAAAGTAAAGACAACTATCTATTAAGTTAAGTTACCATTTCTTCCATTTGATGAATAATATTTGGCTTGATTAAATCAGAACCTTTAGTGCCAACACTCTGCATAGCATGAGGATTTGTCTAAGGGATATTTGGAACAATTTCTAATTTTCATTATTAAGGGATCCAAAGTTGGAAAACTGATATGAAGCTGAAATGATACCTTCCACAGTTTATCATTCTTCAAAACTCAGTTTCTGTGCAATTGCTGACTTTTTTCAGAATCTTTAGAATATGGGAGGACAAAGAGGATTAAATAAAATCTTTTTTGCATATTCTGGAACATAGAAAATCAGAT